TAAACAAGTCTGATTTCTTCTACCAACAATAACTACAATAAAAACATTTACTGAGGACTTAGTGTACCTATTTAGTACTCTTATCAATCTTGAGCACTATTATTCCCATTTTGTAGATGAGGAGCAGAAATGGTAAATAACTTATTAGCATCACAGAAGTAGTAAATAACTAAGTATCACTACAGAGATTCTTAAGTTTTGAAAGTTAGATAAAAGGATCTGTTAAAGGTTATTAGAATAATAAAATTCAAAGCTCCCCAACTTTATTTGAAGTACAAAAACAACAGACTAAATGAATCCCAAGGTCTTTGATCTTTTAATCAGACAAGTCAAAAACCAAAACACTAATTTTATAAAGTAGAAGCTTTTCCCAGACTTTTATCAAGGTAGCATGTGTCATTAATCCAATCTATATTTGATGCCAAAAACTTCCTGGGTTTAGCAGCCCTCAAACTGTTCTCATGTGCTCAACTTACTCCAATTCACAAAACTATATACTTCATGAGCCTGAAGATTATTGTCCCAAAGTTAAAGTATGGCATTTTTTTGTGGCAAATGTGAAGCTTGAACAAAAGGTATACTATTTTATTTTCACCAAATAATTGAGGCTCCTGTTTGTGAGTTGTTTGGGGTTTTGGGTTTTACATTATGAAAATGTCCATATGGGGTGCCTGCAAGTCTTGACATCTGATAACAAAGGTCAAGTTATATGTGGTATTTTGATTACTCATGAGCAGTTCTATCATTGGCAATGAATGTATCTCAACCTACCTAATGATCACATTACCAGGTAAACTGGAACCCTTACTTTGAGATAAAACACAGTAGACAGTTGTTAATGAAACCTTAATTGAACTGTCAAAGTACCATCTTTACCAGGAAGCTAATGGGTAATTCACTACTTTTACACAAGTGTCCAATACTGATAAGTTATTCCACTAGTTAAATTCAGCAGAAAGATAAATCATGTCAGGCATACTAAACTGTTCTGTAATACTGTAAATTTGAATGGTAAAGCCAGACACTGGTGGTGGCTCATGCCTATAATCCTAGCTACTTATGAGGCTGAGATCTGAGAATCTCTGTTTGAAGCCAGCCTAGGCAGGAAACCTATGAGACTCTTGCGTCCAATTAACCACCAAAAAGCTGGAAGTGAAGCTGTGGCTCAAGTGGCAGAGCTAGTACTGAGTGAAAAAACTCAGGGACAATGCCCAGACTCTGAGCTCAAGCCCCAGGATCAATGCATACACATGTGTGCATATACGTGCACATACATATACACATACACACACACATAATCTGAATGGTAAAATGCTGCATCATGTCTATGGATAGCTCTTCCCATCTACATGGAAAAACAACAATATCCCTCAAAATTACATCAGTTTGTCCCTCTGGGTGACTGTTGAAAAAACAATAGTGGTAGATTTAGTCCCTTGTCATAATGCTGAAACAGAATAACTGCAAAGAATGTATGTTTGAATCTAAGTAAATCATAAGTTACATAGTGCATTGACGCAAATGATGTATCAACAGAAGAATATTCTTATGTTCTATTTTAATCACTTTAGAAAATAGATGCTTTAGATTCATAAGGTGCTTTTTAAATTAAAAAGAAAAATCTGTTAGCTACAAAGTAAATAAACCTTATCAACGCAGTAGGTCTTAGAGTACTACCAAAAATACAAATCTCTGCAGTTTCAACAAACTTACTTAGGTCATAGAGCAATTAAATTCCAAATATAATCAACAGCTCAAACAACTCATCACTATGTAAACAGAAAAACAGACAAACATTTGCATACTAAAACACACACCTGGAGTTCTTCCCTTTTTTACTCACCAAGTTGTATTTCACTTGAAACAACTGATAAAATAATGTAGGAACTACAAAAACCTGGTTGAAAATGAAGGTGGCAAGATGACAACCATCTACAATACAAGGAGTGAAGCCTCAGAAAAAAACAGAGCTGCCAGCACTTTAACCTTGGCTTTACAGACTCTAGAACTATGAGAATTAAATTTCGGTTGTTTCTGTAATTTAAGCCAAAACAAAGAAGGGACTGAATAGCAGACCGATTAATCAAGCAGGAAAGCTATCACAACGCTGTTCTAGATTCTGAGCAGAAAAAGAAGTACTTCAGGAGATAGCTGTTACCCTCAAGGGGTTACAACATAGTAAGACAAGTCAAATGTGAAACGAGTGCACAATTGAAGATGGCGCACTAAAACCTACTTCAAGTTCATGGTACAAACTCCGAGGTGGAGGGTCAATCAAAGCTCTAGGATGAATTCAAGTCAAATACATTTGGATTTTCAAGACAGGGTATTCCTGTTTGCTATTCAGTACTCCTGTTTGTCACTAGCCTACCACAACCCTGCTCTCTTAAAAAAAAAAAAAAAAAAAAATTCCCTTAACAAACCTGAAGTTAAAATGTATAAAAGTCACATCTTTTGATAAAATTAGATCTATTCAAGAATACAGTAGCTCTTTTAATATCCCTAGTTTTTAGCAATGTACACAAAGCACTAAATGAGAGCATCCAGACCTAAAAACTTTATAAATTCTCAGTCAGTAAAACAATGACAACGTTTAAAACTAGGAACAACCTTTCTCTTGTTCCCTTCTCACCCCCACAGCTTGGAAAACCTCAAAGGCTAGGCAAGAAATGGAAGTTCATAGTGAAATCCCTCAGGATAGGCTATGGAAGGGGAAAGAGGAAGGCAGGAACAGGCAGGTCCCTGAGCAGTGACTGAAGAGGCACCATTACAAGCTCTACTCTTTCCCACTAGGAATCTCACACCCCCTGGAGAAGGGAAAATGAAGCAGCAACCTCCTTGGAGACTAGCTGAGAAAAACTGGATTCTACTAGTTTACCAAAAAAAAAAAAAAAAAGAAGAAGAAGAGGAGGAGGAGGAAGAAAAGGAAGAAAGACAAATCGGATCACCTTAACTGCCTAGATTATAAAACCTGAAATATAAAGATGGCTCTAATGCAAATGATATTCATCAATTTTTAGCCTCAAAAACAAAGATGAAAGGAGATATTTGCCAGGCTAGTACCAGAGTTCATTTTCCTGTGGTGATGGGGTTTTTCTAGACATTAACAAGAATCTATTTTTGAATGCACTGAAAACATTAATTCATCTATCCACACTGAAATTCTTAATCCTAAAAAAGAAAACCCATAATTCACTCTACTTTTGATGGGAATAAGTACATTTTATTATAAAACTACTAAATCTTCCTAAGAGCAAATAGAAAACTAAAAATTCTACATTTAACAAACTCTTCAGACTTTTTCAGATATCCTAGCACTAGCAAAAGTAAAACCATTTCATTTGTTTAAAAGTATACTTCCTACAATAGCAACTGAACAGGGATAAAAGCAACCAAAGAGGCACTAAGTGACACTAACACATTACACTGAATGTGGGCCACTGCACAGCTACAGTCTACTAACCTCATTTGTGGTACTCATGTGTGATGCTATATTTAATGCATTCTTATCAGAAGACTTAAGCTACATACTTCCCAACTTTAGCTTTATGGTTTAAAATAAACCACTAGAGCAATGACTTTAACTGGTTCAACTTTAAAACCTACCATCCTTCTGGGGACCAAGATCACAAACTTTAAAACCTACCATCCTTCTGGAGACCAAGATCACAAAACAAAACATCAAAAGATGAAAAGGATAGGCAAAAAATTATGCAAAGTATATACAAATGACAAGGCTATTACAAAGCAACCAAATCTGGGTCAGATGTTGACATTTGCTCCAATTGGGCAACTGATCCAAAGCAAATCAAACACATGAGAGATGACCAAGGTCTTTATAGGAATAGGTTTTTCATACATTCATCTATTGATCTCTCAGTGGATCACTTAGATTCTGAACAGGAAAGTTTAGTAATTAAACTTATGTATGTTAGTCATGAAAAGGTGCTCCACTAAAAGTTGCCAAGATTCATGCCAAGCACTGGTGGCTCAAGTCTGTAATCCTAACTACTCAGGAGGCTGAGATCTAAAGACTATGATTTGAAGCTATTCTAGGTAGCAAAGTGTGTAAGACTCTTATCTCCAATCAACCACCCCAAATCCAGAAGTGGAGTTGTGGCTCAAGTGGTAGAGCACCAACCTTGAACAAAAAAAGGGGCAGTGTCCAGGCTCAGATCAAACCCTAGTACTGGTACCAAAAAAGAAAAAAAGTTGCTGCCAGAAGTGGCACTATGGCTCCAGCGGTAGAACACTAGTTTTCAACACAAAGAGGCTCAAAGATAGAGACCAAGCCCTGAGTTCAAACAAGGACAAGCAAAAAAAAAAAAAAAAAAATCCATATCCCAGAGCTGGTGGCTCACACACCTATAATCCTAGCTACTAAGGAGGCTGAGATCTGAGGATGGTGGTTCAAAGCCAGCTTGAGCAAGAAAGTTGGCGAGACTCTTATCTCCAATAAACTACTCAGAAAAAGCCGGAAGTGGTGCTGTGGCTCAAGTTTTAGAGCCCTAACCTTGAGCACAGAAAGACTCAGGGGCAGAGCCCAGGACCCGCAAAAAAAAAAAAAAAGGTGGCAAGCCAGTAGCCAGTGACATCATGCCTGCAATCCTAGCTACACAAGAGGCTGAGATCTGAAGATAGTGGTTCACAGCCTGCTTGCTTATGAAAGTCCGTGAGATTCTTATCTCCAATTAGCCACCAGAAGACCAGAGGTGGCACTGTGACTCAAAGTGGTGGAGTGCTAGCCTTGAGTGAAAAGGACAGTGCCTAGGCCGAGTTCAAGCCCCTCGACCAACTAAAAAGGAAAGTTGCCAAGACTCAAAAGCTTAAGCCTAGATAGACAACATGTTAAGCCTCTTCACAAAGTGAGGGTGGCTTCCAACAGATGAATTGAGAACTTTGCTCCACTTTGGTCCACTAAGTGAAAAGCATGGGTGATGACTCGTCCAATCAGAACCATGGAAAGAAACCGGAAGTTGTGTTGTTCTTTTGATACTCACCAGACTACACCAAAGGCTCCATATCCAATAGGCCTATCGGGCTCAATATCCAGCTGCTGTTGCGGATGATGCGAGTGCTGATGATGGTGTGCCTTAACTGTAGCAGCTGCAGCAGCTTGTACCTGAGCTGGGGCTGCTGCAGCTGGTCCAGGAGCCTGTCCAGGTGCCGGTGATGGGAAATATGGCTGTTGTTGCCCAGGGTTTAACATAGCTGCGGCTGCTGCTGCTGCTGCGGCTGCGGCGGCAGCCGAAGAGGTATGCTGCTGTACAGGGTGTACAGCAGCAGCCGACCCCGGATGAAGATGGTGTTGAGGGTGGTGGTGGTGGTGAAGGTGAGGAGGAGGAAGGTGTGGAAGGTGGTGATGATGGTGGTGGTGGTGACCTGCTGCTGCTGCAGATGTACCGCCATTGTAAGCCGCCATCATTTTTGCGTTGGCTCTTGCGCCACAAAGAGACATTCAAAAAATGCCCTTTGATTGGAAAGCAAACTGGGTCAAGCTGTCATTTGGCCATTTAAAAAATGAAGAAAAACCACTCACTCCACCTCCAAAAAACATAGAGCGTAACTGGCTTTATGTCTTCATCAGTCAATCCAAACAAGTTAAGAGGATCTTGGTGTTTAAGTTTTGGGTGAGTGTGAATGTGGAAGGGTATGGGTTGCCAAAAAAGAAAAAAGAAAAAGGAAAAGAAAGGAAAAAAAGAAAAGAAAAGGGGGGGGAAAAAAGGACCCCTTCCCCCCAGGATTCCTGCCACAAGTGGATACTAAAACTCCATCCTTAATTTGGGGGAGGTTCCAACTTTGAATGTGGGAATAAAGGCCAAATCTCCCGACCCCCTGAACTCCACACACGAAAAGGATCAGGTAACACACCACCCTTAGAATCCTGTAAGAGGGTTGACTCATCTACCCCTTCCATTCCCACATCCTTTTCTAAACACCTACCACCTCCTCAAAAAAACACAATTTCGACAGATTTCCCAGCCACCCTAAAACCCAAAAGATGGGGGGGAAATTTGCAAAGAAAACCTGCTTCTGGCTTCCCCCCCCCCTCGAACTCTCAGGCCTTTCCTACATCTCCCCCTACTCCTAGTCTAGTCAGGTTGACCTGATTGGGGGGAGGGGGGCTGCGGGGGGGGGGGGGTGTACCAAACTTTCCTGGGCAGAATGCGCGACGGGAAGGAGGCTGGACAGAGTGAGGAGAGAAGGCGAAAGGCAGGGCGGGGGGGTGGGGGGGGAGGGAGAGAACCCGGGGAAAAGTGAAGGTAAAGAGGTGCAGGGGAAAATGAAAGAGCAGTGGGCAGCACTCGGACGCCCAGACAGAGGGGAACCGCCCCGGGAAGAGGTTAGGGTCCCGGGGCCAAAGAAAAAGAGCCCCGGGAGGCGGGCGGGGTACGGTCGGAAGCGGGCTGACTCCGGCCCCCGCCGCCGCCGGCGGCTTCTGCTGAGGAGGGTTGGGGGGGAGAGCGGGTGGGTCCCCCGTGCGACGGCCCCTGCAGGGCTCAAGGCTGCTCCGTCTCCCCCCCTCCCCCCCACCCGGCGTCCGACCCCGGGGCCGCTTTCTCCTCAGCCGCCGCGGCTGCTTTCTCTTCGGCCGCCGCCTCCACCTCCTCCTCCTCCTCAGCCGCCGGTGCCGCCGCGGCCGGACTCACCTCCCCTAGCAAAGCCGGATAGAGCGGAGCCAGCGGCGGACACGCGCAACCAGCTTCCGAGGCCCCGCCCCCGCCTCGCACTGACCGGCTGCCTTAGCCAATCCACGCCCACCTGTCCGCGTCCGTCTCCAATCCTGGGCCGAAAACTTCAGACAGGCGCACTGTTCGACCAGTGGCAGCAAGGTGTGGGTCTCCTGGGGAAATTCCGCCCCCAATGCGGGATGGGCAGATAGAAAGACCAATCAAGAGGCAGATCTTGGCTTGACCGACAAGGTTGATAGCCAATTAAAAATCAAAAATCTCTGACATTTTCTTTTGCCTCTCTCCTCTTTTCTTTTTCTTCTTTTATTTTTTTGGCAGGAGCAGGAAGCTGCGTGCTAATCCCGCCTGCAAAAGCTAGAAGAAAGGGGCGGAATGAAAGAACCAATCATGAGCCAGGAACAAAGAACAGACTAACCAATCCTCGGGTTGAAGATGAGATGGGCTGGTACTCAGGTCAGATAGACATATAATTTGGCAAATGGAAAAAAAGATTGCTCTAAGTCCCGCCTTCAGATCATCTGTAGGGCAGGATTGTGGAGAATTCGCTACCACGTCCGAGACGACCACCTCGGGGGGCGTGGCCATCAGGAAGGGGTGTGGTCTAAAGGAGGCGTGGTCACGTTGAAGAAGGCGGAGTCCAAAGCATTGGTGGTACTTTGATGGGAGCCCTTTTAAAGCTCACTACCCCTTTTAAGGCCTAAGATAAGGAAAAGTAGAGAAAAACGAATACTGAGCTTCAGAAGCTCGAAATCCAAAAAGGTCCAAAAAAGATAACAGTCACAGAAGAAACTCACTAGACAGTTCATAGACAATGGCTGATCCTCATAATTTTTCTTCATCTTGGCAAAAGAAAAAAATAGGCATTAACTGCTGCATTCAGAATGCTCGCTCCACTGATGGTAAAGCTATCGATAGAAATTAAAACAACATGGGCTAGGAAGGTGGCTCAGTGGTAGAGTGCTTGCCTTGCATGCATGAGGCCATGGGTTCGATTACTCAGCACCACATAGGCAGAAAAAGCCGGAAGTGGCACTGTGGCTCAAGTGGTAGAGCGCTAGCCTTGAGCTGAAGAGCTGAGGGACAGTGCCCAGGCCCAGAGTTCAGGCCCCACAACTGGCAAAAAGAAAAAAAAAAAAAGAAAAAAGAAATTAAAACAACAAAAAGTAGGTGTAACCCTAAAAAGAGTAATTTTTCTCCCCAAATTTTCTAATTAAGATCTGGTCATTGAAATTTTTACTAAAATAACATCATTCACATTCTTTCAGTTACCTGAATTTACTCTTAAAATATGAAATAACAACATTTCTAGACTTTATTTGTAATTAAACTGTATATACCCAATCTGGAGGTCATTTTTGACCTGTTTTGCCTGTTCACACTCCTCTTTTAACCCATCATTTCCCTTCCTACAGGCTATCTCTTCCTTAAACCATCCTCTTTTAAATTCCCATCATTGGCAAATGACACTGGTGTTCTCTGTAAATTTATTGTGGCTAAACAAAGAAGAAAAGCATACTCAGCTTTTTTGCAGAAATTATTCTGGGAAAGATTCTGAGGTATCATTCAGGGTGCAATGTGATTTGGAAGTGTAAGGAATTTCTCTGGATTGAGTTCCAGAAAAGTTTATCACAGACCTGTGTTCTTGAACTTCAAGACAGGAATATATGACGTGAAAAAGTTTATTTTGATGAACAAGCATAAATAAATAATAAAATACAGTAGTCTATCATAATGTGAGGTTTCAGCTTTGAATTGTATACTATTTTGAGTAATAGGATGAAATCTTGCACTATCTCATGGTATCATACTGGGAATCATCTTTTTGTCAGGTGTATTTACACTGTATATACTACTTTCTCATTAGTGACTTAATAGCTTTCAATTTTCATATCAACAATTACAATATTGCAGTATTCAAGTTGCCCTGATATAGTAGTCTCCCATGATACCTAACTCGTTTCTCCTTACTTCTTTCATCACTAAACCATTATATCATCTCACTTTATCACAAGAAAAAGGATGATGGAGACAGATCTGAGGATTGTGTTTCAAATCCAGCCCTCCACTGCCAAGGTGGGAGTTGGGGAGGATATAGATGCAGAGAGAGAATTTTTAACACTCTTATCTCCAATAGCAAAAGACCAAAAGTGGAGGTGTGACTCAAGTGGTAGAGCATAAACCTTGATCAAAAAAGCCATGAAAGGGGCTGGGAAGGTGGCTCAGTGGTAGAGTGCTTGCCTTGCATGCATGAGGCCCTGGGTTCGATTCCTCAGCACCACATAAGCAAAAAGAAAAAAACGGGAAGTGGTGCTGTGGCTCAAGGGGTGGTAGAGCACTAGCCTTGAGCTGAAGAGCTGAGGGACAGCGCTCAGGCCCAAAGTTCAGGCCCCACAACCAGACCCCAAAAAAGAAAGCCATGAAAAAGTGAGAGGCCCTGAGTTCAAGCTTCAGTACTGGAACAAAAAAAAAAAAAAGGAAAGAAGGAAGAGGAAGAATAGACGGAAAGGAAGAAAGAAAGGTGGGTGATTACAATAGAATGAAGTATGTTGGAGTCAGAGCTCATTCACATAATAAAATTACATATATTCCCAAATCTAAAACTGTTCAAGAGCCCACATGATACCACAGTGGAAAATCCCACCTCTGACCTATGTCATAATCATAACATCAGAAAACATTGTGTGAAATTACCTTAAGGCCATGTGTATGAGGTTTATATGAAACAAATAAATTTTGGGTTTAGAGTTAAATAATATATGTATATGTATATGTGTGTGTGTGTGTATGTGTGTGTGTGTGTGTGTGTGTGTGTGCTTCAGGCATCCGATGGGGGTCTTTGAATCTTTCCCTTATGGATAAAGGGGTAATAACACACTGGCACCTGCCTACTTCAAGGTCCTTTTCCCTTACCTCTACCTTCTGAATTTCTTCAGGTCCTCAAATGCTTTGTTGCCTCCAAGCCTTTATCCCATCTTAAGTTCAAAACTCTTCCCACCCATGCTCTGCTTCTCTAATTCACCCTTCTGGTGTCTTCAGGTAAATTTCACTCTTTTTTCCCTAGAAAGCCTTTCACTGATTGAGATTATATTTCTCTATATCTTCATGGCCTTGCTTCTCTCCTAGCACCAAGAACTCTATTTTAATTGCTTATTGAGTTTGACTAGGACAGAGAGCTTGTCTGTCTCAATGTTATATGTCCAGTTCTTAAGACAGTGCTTGAGAAAGGTGAAGGCTCTACAGATTTGCATGAATTCCTGAGTGCGGGACAAGCTAGTACAAATCCAAGCTTTGGTGTTCACTAGCTTTTTAATTCAACAACTGAACTCACCGTTTTCAGTCATAGTTGCCTCGACTGAAATAAACATAGGTATTTCATCAAGTTGATTTTTGGATTAAATGAGGTGGTGCATCTAAAATATTTGGCAAGGAACAGATAATTAATATACATTAATTTTCTGTCACTCTTAATCTGGCATAAAATTTGAGATACTTTCCCAATTTTCCAGTGCACCTCAGTCTCCTTTAAAGAGTATTTTCCTAGATGTTTCTTCAACATGCAAATTCCCTGTTCCCCACCTAAACCTCCTGATCAGAACTTGTGGTGGGAAAAGGGAGTGAAATTTTGTTTAACAAGCCCTCCAGGTGATACTCGCAGAAGAGTTGGAGAAGCATCAACCTAGAGGAAGAGGATCAGTCTTAAGTTTTATATTCAGCACATAGTATCATATCATACACATGAAATAAATTAATCCACCAGAAAATGACTACTCATTAAGAGTTAAGTAACTCTACATTTCTCAAACATTTATTGAGTACCAATAATATCTAGGCATGATGCTAGAATCAGCAAGGAAGAAGGGAGATGGTTGTATTCAAATCTCTGGCCCTCCCTAAGAGTTTTAAGGGTGTGCATTCTCCAGGGGATACACGAAGAGACACATTAGGCTCCTGGGAGAAATTAGTACAACTCCTGCCTGGGTGTGGTGGCACAGTGCTATAATCTCAGCACTCTCAAGCCTAAGGCAAAGGAATCTTGAGTACAAGACCAATCTGCATTATGAAGAAAGATCCAGTATCCAAAAACAAAAAACCCAAATATACACGCACACATGGTATAATTTGATTTCTCTTTGGTGATGTACATACTACAGAGTGCTGTGTATTTATAATTTATAAATAAATAACATACAAAAATTAAGATGTGCCGGGTGCTAGTGGCTCACGTCTGCAATCTTAGCTACTCAGGAGGCTGAGATATGAGGGTCGAGGTTCAAAACCAGCCCAAGCAGGAAAGTCCATCAGACTCTTATCTCTAATTAACCACCAGAAAAACAGAGGTGGCTCAAGTGGTAGGGTGCTTGCCTTGAGCTGAAGAGCTCAGGGACAGCGCCCAGGCCCAGAGTTCAAGCCCCACGAACAACCCTCCCCCACCCAAAAAAAATTGAGATACTATGTCTCTGCAAAATTATCAAAAATATTGGGAAATCTTTGGTATAGTGGCCATTTAATGTTCATGGTTTAGAGCAGAGCCACTCGTGGAAGCCACGGATGAACTTTAAATTTATCTAGTAGTCAAATAAAAAGCTAAAATAAACAATTGTTTTTGGTATATTTTATTTAATCTACTATATCCAAAAGATTGTAATTTTAACATGTAACAAATCTTTTTAAAATATACATACATCTATAGAATACCAAACCTTTGAAATCTGCTACATATTTTGCATATACTTATAGTACCACTCAAACTGAATTAATACCAGCTGTAGAGAGGCTGAGAAGTAGAAAGATTACCAGGCCAGCCAGGGCTATAAAGCAAGTTTCAAGCCAGGCTGGGTTACATAGTTTGAAAAAAAAACAAATCAAGTTTGGTATGATGGTGCACATCTGTGATCTCACCACCC